CCCCTGCCCTCCCCCCCCACGCCCCTGCCCCCCCCCATGTTGTCCTGCTTTACAGATGTTAGAATCTGGTCACCCTATACATGACGCACCCTATACATGATGCACCCTATACATGACATGTACCTCAGTGCATAGTGGTTTTAAGACCTTGGCTTTGATAATTTTGAAAGGTAAGAAACAAATGCATACTAATAATGACAAATAATGAAATATTTTTAAAGCAACGTTTCCCAATTGGGAATTACTTTGGTCCTTAGGAGATATTTATCAATGTCTGGAAAGACATGCTTGGTTGTCAATCTTTCTAATTCATATGATTTAAAAATTTGAGATTGTGCTATGGTCCCACTATTGACATTTTGGGATAGAAAATTCTTTATTGTAAGAAGATACTGTAAGATTTTGAGCAGCATCCCTGGTCTCTACATACTAGATGCCATAGCCTCCCTCTGAGGGACAGATGCTTCTAAAAATCTTAACAATGCAAGTATATCTTCCTACAATAAAGAATTTTCTGGTCCAAAATGTCAATAGTGCTAGGTTGAGAAACCCTCTTTTCATGAAAGCAATGAATTTTAATTATTTTAAATCTAAGGGGACTATAGCACAATTTAGATTTTTTTTTTTTTTTGAGACAGAGTCTCACTTTGTCACTATTGGTAGAGTGCTATGGCATCATAGCTCACAGCAACCTCAAACTCTTGGGCTCAAGCAATTTTCTTGCCTCAGCCTCCCAAGTAGCTGAGACTGCAGGTGCCTGCCACCATGCCCGGCTACTGTTTTAGAGACAGGGTCTGACTCTTGCTCAGGCTGGTCACAACCCTGTGAGCTTAAGGCAATCCACCTGCCTTGGCCTCCCAGAGTGTGAGCATTACAGGTGTGAACCACTGTGCCCTGCCTACAATTAGGATTTTTGAATCATAAAAATGAGAAAGATTGACATTATTAGATAATTAAGCAAGAAAATCCTATTGCAGAATTCCTTCTATAGAAACCACTGGGCTACAAAACTGAGGACAGAGCCTATAGAACACAGATATTTTAGACACATAGTCTTGGGCTTTCAATGTGTCTGAATGCCTTTTAAAATACTCTTTTCCCAACAAATGCATATATAATACCTAAAATTTACAAATAGACTTATAATTGTTGATGTTCTGAAACCTCAACATCTATTAATCAGGTTGAGATCATAGGGTAGAGAGACATGAGAACCAAGGTACTATAAAAGAACATTAGGCTTTGTAAATAAAAAAAATCAAGTTTATAGTAAATTCACAACATATAAATAAAGCTGTGGTTAAGGAAGTCTTATAGGGAAATTTAGAATTTAGAAACCTTTAAAGTGTGTTGGAATATTTACAGAAAAGAGTTCAATGATAAGAGTAGCAAACTATTTAGAAAAAGCATTACCTCTACTAAAGCAGAGATTACAATTTAAATGTATTAGTCTTTTATCTTCTCTATGTCTATTATAAGTATTTGACAATTACGATAATATGTAGTCACTTTTAAAATAGGGTACATGAAACAGACATGAGCATACTAAAAAAACCTTTACATTTGCATTTTAATTTGCAATATAGATCTAATTTTGCTTTTTAATATATTATAAAGTTACAAGGGAGGAAAAGTAAAATATGTATTAGTGAATATACTAAATTAGATGAACAGAATTTTTTTGTTGTTGTTGTTGCAGTTTTTGGCTGGGGCTGGATTTGAACCTGCCAACTCTGGTATATGGAGCCAGCGCCGTACTCCTTTGAGCCACAGGCGCTGCCCTGAACAGAAGTTTTTAAATCCATTTTGTGGCTAGGTTCATTGGCTCACACCTATAATCTGAGCACTTTGGGAGGCCAAGGTGGGAGGCTCGCTTGAAGCCAGGATTTTAAGACCAGCCTGAAAAACAAGGCGAGATCTCACTTCCACAAAAAGTAGAAAAATTGGCTGGGCATGGTGGTGCATGTCTTGGATCCTACCTACTCATGGAAGATCACTTGAGCTCGGGAGTCTGAGGCTCTAATGAGCTATGGTTGAGCCACTGCCCTCTAGCCTGGGTGACTGTCTCACAAAAATAAAAAGAAATTATTTTCATAAAAAAGTTATCACAAAATGAAAATATATTGCATAGTTTCATCATGCTCTTAGCTGGGCTAAAAAAAGAAAACAATATATGTGTATAAATATTACTGATTATAAAATGTCCAGGATAATGGACAAGCCCGCAATGAATAGTTCAATTAAATTTATTTCTAGGTAGTTTACACATTATTTATTCTCTTGAGTAAGGCTGTGAAAATTTATTTTCATAATCTTTCTCCTACTTATCTCTATGTTATAAAGTATCCATGTAAATATGTAGAAAATAAACCAAATTATATTAAAGATCCATAGTAATTTTCTTTTTCTATCCTATAAAATGCTATCATTTGATTATTGGTTCATACTCAAAAGGTAAAACCAAAAGATTTTTTCACTAATTTTCTTTATCTTTACTAATGTTGGCTCATTCAAAGAACAACATTTTCATAAATACAACAATGCATATCAATCACCTCGATAACAATACTGATAGCTACAGGCAATATCAGAATTTTTACACTACTCTCATGCCAAGTCCAATCTTCCTCTAAGCCTGAGCATTCAAATTATGAACTCGGCTGTTCCATTAACTTTTTCTTACCCAGCCATTTGTTTCAGGCCTGAAAAATACTCTGTAGCATCTTTTTTTTTTTTTCTAGTTTTAAATATATATCATTTATGTGCATGAAAGATTTAAAGAGAACATTTTATATTTTTTTATGAACTTGAGTTTACACTTGCCTTTTCTAATCTAATGTAAATAATGTTAAGTTTAAAATGTTATGTGTGATTCAAAGAATGCATAAATGCCTACCCATACTCACACCACACCGCATGGGTTGAATCCAAGTTCGCCTGCCATATGACTGGCATGGCCATTGCCATGGGAAATATGACAAGTAAAAAATACACATCAAATGACACTGATGCTCTGGCTTGGTAGAAAAACACTTTTCAAATGACAGATAATGCATGTGCTGTCAAAGTAATTTTGCTTAAAGTACATAGAATTTCCTTTTCCTGATATACTTCAGAAATTATTCCCACCGAGAACATTTTCCAGGACTGACACATTCATAAATGCATCGCGTTATTTATGCCATGACCTAACATCTTTCTTCCTTTTTCATTTTAGCTTGCATAAGACTATTACAAAATTGGAAGCATAAGGACTAAATCTAAAGGGTTTGCCCGATCCTTCATAATTGGCAATTAAAAGTAAATTTCTTCCATTTCGCAGTACTTAGGGTCTAAAACACAATGATTGACGTGAAATTGGTGGTTTCAAAATTAGAAAACAGTGTCAGTTTACAGGTTTGGCCTTAAGACTAAATTGTTTCGATATTAATTTCATTGATGGAAGACCAGGATGAGTGGTGGGGTCATTCAGTATGTTAAAGAAAACAGTTTTATTGGGAGATACTGATATAAACCTATAATGACACTGGAAATAAAATAGTTTAAACTTAGTGTAAAGTTATAATGTGCTTTCCAAAGTATATATTAGTTTTCCCTCCATAAAATGTAAGTAGGCAGAAAAATACTATTCTAATTCAAACTCGAGTAATACATGTTCTCTTTTGTACTTCTTGATACAATATGATACGGGGTTGTAGCAGACACACTCTTTCATGCCCACTAATGAGCCATTTCCTGTGTAATCCCCTTCCTCCGAGTGCAGGCAGAACTTGTGACTTGTTTCTAATCAATCAGATCTGGCAAAGGCAAGGAATAGCTATAACCAGGACTATATTACAGAAGACTCATCTTAGCAGACTTAGGATGAGAGACTTTGTGGGGAGGGCTTCAACAAGAAAGTGGTATGGTGGCTCACT